CCCGTTTTTACACGACCCCGTCGACTATCTGGAGAACGCCTCGCCATCGCCCGCCGTGAGTTTGAGCACATGCTTGAACTCGGCATTGTGCGGCCTTCCTCCAGCAACTGGGCGTCGCCACTCCACATGGTGCCGAAGAAAGATCCTGGCGACTGGAGACCATGTGGGGATTACCGCGCTCTCAATGCCCACATCTTACCAGACCGCTATGCACTTCCTCACATACAGGATTTCACATCAAATTTGGCTGGTGCACAATCTTCTCTTAGATTGACTTAATGAAGGCTTACCATCAGTTTCCTGTAGAACCCGCCGACATTACGAAGACGGCCATCACCACCCCATTCGGTCTGTTTGAATATGTGAGGATGCCTTTTGGATTGCGCAACTCTGCACAGACCTTTCAGCGCACTATCAACGAGGTCACGCGAGGTCTCGATTTCGTATTTTCCTACCTTGATGACCTCCTTGTAGCAAGCTCATCCGGCCCTGAGCATGAAGCCCACCTGCGCACCCTGTTCCACCGCCTGGATCATTACGGTTTCGTAATTAATCCCAATAAGTGCCTCTTCGGCGTCACTACAATTGAGTTCCTAGGCCACCTTGTCACTCCAAAGGGTATCCAACCACTCGCCAGCAAAGTGAAAGCTATTCAAGACTTTCCACCCCCGACTTCACTGAAGAGACTCCGAGAATTTCTGGGCCTACTAAACTTCCATCGGCGCTTTCTTCCAAAACGCGCCACATTCCTAAAGCCCTTGACCGACCTATTGGCTAAAACGAAAGACCCGGCTGCGCCCCTGGAGTGGCCCAAGGACGCTGCATCTGCCTTCGACACTGCCAACAAGGCTCTGGCAGACGCTACCATGCTCATACATTCCTTCCCTTATGCCCCGATTCGTCTCATCACCGATGCATCAGCGTGGCAGTTGCGCTGTTCTTGAGCCGCACGTATCCGGTTGGCAGCCCCTTGGGTTTTTCCTCGCAAAAACTGAAGCCACCAGAGACAAAATACAGTACATTTGCCCGAGAACTCCTCACGGTATACCTCGCCATCAAACATTTTCGTAATTTATTGGAGGGCCGGGACTTTTACGTCGTTACAGACCACAACCCCCCGACGTTTGCCTTCCATCGCAATCACAGCATTATACTGCACGGGAGATCCATCAACTATGCTTTATTTCCGAGTTCACTGTGGATCTCAGACACGTACGTGGGCGGGAAAATGCTGCTGCTGATGCACTATCCCGCATCGATGCCTTGTCGACCCAGCCACCACTAGACATGGAAGAGCTAGCAGCTGCCCAAAGCAACGATCCTGAGCTGCGTCGTCTTCGATCTTCATCCACGTCTCTATCGTTCACGGAGTGCCCGCTTCCATTTTCTACCTCATTAATAACGTGCGAAACGTCTACTGGTGTCCCTCGGCCCTTCGTGCCTTCAGCTTTTTGTCGTTGCATTTTTGAACAATTGCACAACATGAGCCATCCTGGTATGCGTGCAACCCAGAAGCTAGTCACATCTCGTTTTCCTTTGGCCAAGCATCAATGCTGATGTCCGACTCTGGGCGCGAACCTGCCTTGAGTGCCAGCGCGTTAAAGTTCACCGTCACACTGTCACGGCAACATCCCCGTTTCGGCCTCCAGACGCAAGGTTTTCTCACGTCCATCTCGACATCGTCGATCCTCTTCCGTCATCGCAAGGAGCCTGTTACCTGCTGACATGTGTGGATCGCTTCACCAGATGGCCGGAAGCGTTTCCCATTTCCGACATTACAGCACCAAACAGTTGCCAAGCTCTGACAAAAGCTGGGTGTCGCGCGTTGGATGCCCTTCTGTCGTCACCACTGATCGCGGTCGTGAGTTTCAATCGGCCGTTTTCACCGCACTTGCCAATATCCTGGCATTCGACACATCCACACAACTGCCTACCATCCTTTCGCCAATGGCATGGTCGAACGGCTTCATCGACAACTGAAAGCTGCCCTCACTGCTCACAGCAACGGGAACGGTGGCTCGACCACCTCCCCTTCGTACTTCTGGGCATCCGATCAGCATTGAAAGTGGAGCTCGGCTGCCCATCAAGCCGAACTAAGTCTATGGCGTTTCCCTGCGTCTTCCAGGAGAATTCTTTCGAGCCATCATCGCCACCTTCCACTCACGAGTACCTCCACGTACATTCGAGAGCTGCGCACCACGTTTCGGGACCTTGCTCCCGTGATTCCTGCGACCGGACATCCCCAGTCTGTCTTCGTCAGTCCAGGATCTGCATGACTGCAGTCCGTCTTTGTTCGGCGTGCCCGAATACGGCCACCACTACACCAGCCTATAATGGCCCATTCTGCGTACTCCATCGTACACCTAAGACGTTCACAGCTTGACATCATTCCGTGAAGATGTCATGGCTGCTTATCGACTGAAACCTGCGTATATCACCGCTCTCCGCGGCCGTGGGGTTTCAATCTAAAATCCGAATGCCAACATCAAAGCATGTCCACTGGGCGACTCCTCTGGTGATTCCTACGGCTCTCCCTCTACGGGGGGGAGCCCTGTAGCGCATCAGGAAGGAAGGAAGGAAGGAAGGAAGGAAGGAAGGAAGAAGGAAGGAAGAAGGAAGGAAGGAAGGAAGGAAGGAAGGAAGGAAGGAAGGAAGGAGGAAGGAAGGAAGGAAGGAAGGAGGAAGGAAGGAAGGAAGGAAGGAAGGAAGGAAGGAAGGACGGAAGGAAGGAAGGAAGGAAGGAAGGAAGGAAGGAAGGGAGGGAGGGAGGGAGGGAGGAGGACAATAACTTTATTTTGGTCCTCTGGAACGCGACTGGGTCACACACCCGGCTCAGCCCCACGTAGGACAAAAACGCAGTTGCACTAAATGTCTGAAAGCAATTGATTCAGTGGCTTTAATATAAATACTTTTAACATGGTGAAGGGAAAAAGTGGAACATATGAGCTCCACTGCTCCAAGAAGAGCTAAGCGTGCTACCTCTTCTATATGTGTAAAATAATTGTAACCAGTAAAAACAATAAATTATTACACGTGCGTGTACAGTCACGCGCTATATAAGTTGAAACACGTGTTCCGTGCTCTTTTTGGCACCATTAGTTTAAAGTGATGCCGACAAATAAAAAAATAGTGAAGTAAACACTGTTTAAGTTACTAGTATTCTCGAAATCAACCTGAAGTATTTCGGTATCACTGTTCAGGTATGGAGACCCGTTCGACACGGCCGCCATACGGCAAACTATTAAGTGCGACTGTACCTATCGCTTAAGTGAGCGCCAAGGACGGTAAATCTACTTTGGAAAATATAATGCAATGACCGACAAAGGAGTTTTTCACAGCCTTTTAAAACCTGATTAAGTTACATCGCATGCTACACCTGGCTGAAAGTATTAACACCATACTGTTGCTTCTGGAACATAATAAATTATTTTAACGTAAAGTCATCATTTATGCACACATCATGAGCACATGTTTAATGCACTTGTATGTTAAAGTGTCACAGACCTTTGTTCCGTTTCTCAAGCGTGAAGTTGGGTCTTCCCAGAATGGAAAGGCAATCCTTAAACTCATTCAAGTGATCATTCCCGCACCACCTCTGACACGCTTACTGCACAATCTACTGCACAATCTGCGTGCAATATCAATAATTCCTTAGATCAGCTACGATTTTATTCTTTCCTACATTTTAAGGGTTAATTCTACGCTTTATTATCATTCAGCAGCACTGCCTAACGCTGTATTCTTTATTTGTCATTTTTGTTCGAATTGAATATTTATTTTATTTTTCAGGTTTACGACGGTCCTCTGCCAAATACCAACACAATTCAATAATGTGACCCCTACTTACTTACTTCAGGCAAATGAACTTTGAAAAACTCGGCTAAATCTGTGCGTCGGCGTCAGAACATTTAGGACCACGATACACATAAAAACGTTGAATGTATCTGCTTTGTCTGCAGGCATCCAAGCATATAGATTGGCGGTTGTTTAAAACGCGCTAAGGCCGCGTTCAAACTGAGCATTCCGGCCGCCGAAAGTGCTCCGAATCCGGTTCGGCGGCGGCGAGGTCTGCCGAAAGGGCCCTCTCCGCGCCGATCGCTCTCGGACTGATTTTTGTGGCGTCTGCCGCCGATTCGGCCACCGCGGACCAGTAGGAGCGCTAGTCAAGGAATTTCGAAAATGGCGGCCAAGCCCTACTCACTTGTTATGCCGCAGTGCACGTAACTGAATGTTGAAACCAACGGGAGTTTAACCTACTCTGTGCCTCTTCGCCTCCGTATTTCGTGAAAGAGGTGACAGAGCTTGCTGTTGGCGTGACCGAGCTTGTTGCGGTCTTGCAGAGCAAAACAACCCACAATGCCGCTGGCGTCGGTGGTTTTTCTGCTCTTCGTGCATTACAAGACAGCCACTTGCCAGCAAAGTAAGCAGTACTGTCTTTCTTGCTTCTTGCGTACGAGAATCATCGTAGTATACAACACCGGATAGCGTAGTGTCGTTTGCAAGCCACGACAACACCGGGTGACAGCGCTCCATCCCTCGTTTGCCCCGTAGTAGATGGCATATTCGGCGGCGGGGGCGCGTCCAGTGCGAACGACGCTGGTTTCGGCGGCAGGGGAATTTCGGTCGCTGTAGAAAGCGGATGTTTCAGTGTGAACTAGGCATAAGGGCCTTTCCATGCGCCCATACAGCCGCAACGCACGTGCCGGGACCTCTGCCGCACGCAAGTGGGGACAAATAAGCCAATTGGCAACGCTCTTTCACCCTCCACTTGGGTGCGGCAGGGGTCACGGCACGTGCGTTGTGACGGTGGGGTAGCGCGTGGAAAGGCCTAACAGGCTGTACTGTGCAGTCCGATCAAATATAAAAACACGTAGAAATTTAGTTTTTCATAGCGCTATTTGTCCCTACACTGTTTACTGCAAATGCACTATTTCAATATAGGGGCAAACCGCCTCCAGCACCGCAGACAACTAACCCTTATGTTTTACTTGTTATTTCAGTGCTCTTACGATGTCAAATCAAGGACACAGAGCTGTCCACCACGATGTCGTTGCATCATAAACGAAACCACTAGCAGCTATCAGAGGGGCTTCTGTTGGACATGAGCGTTCAAGCACTCTGCATTTTGCAATTTTAGAAGCGTCCGAATGTCTTGTCTTGAATAAAGAATAAGCACCTGCAATCCAACTCTCAAATTCACAATTTGAACAAAAATATTTTTTATATTGCGACGTGTGGTAAGCCCCATACTCTTTCTGCGAAAATGTGCATATATGTAAGAAGAAATAGACAACGCCCACATACTGGGCTGGCTCTCCTTATTTTCTTATTTCTTTGCATCCAGCTAGCTGCCCGCATGCCCCAACCTCTGCGTCGTTCTTGGTCGTAATGATCGGTCATGTCGGCGAGCGCACGCAGCTGCCGACATGGTGGGCCGCACTGGCTGCATTGCAGCGATCGGTCCTGGCCTTGCTACAATTCTGCTTGGTGATCTTCCTCTGTGTTTCTGAAGGACAGAATCAGCCATGTTGCTGTGGTCGGTCTCTTTCATAGCACGATGTCTTAAGAAAATGTGCTGGCAATGTCTGGAAGGTGGATCTTAGTGTTTCCAGTTGCCAAGCTTTGAAACTGGCACGACACTGAGCATTCGGAATTCTCGAATGTCGCAATGTGTTCAGTAGGCGGGCTGTTCGCCTATGGTGTAGCTGCCATCGGCGTGCTGTCCCCCAGTATGTGTCGAAATTGAGGTTAGTTTCTGTGCTGATTTTCGATGCACCCAATGCTCTTCCCCGGGTGTGTCGCCGTATTCACCGAGGTGGACGAGTTCGTGGTCTTCAACGAAATGTCGCAATCATTGGAGTCGTACCAGCCAGAATCGACGTCACTAAGAGGGAACTCTGGCTTTACCGTGAAGTCATCCATGATTCTGATGAAACCGTCCCAAGCATGTCGGCTTCTTGCATGGAGGCTGCACTGAGAGCACGTTGCGCATAACAGACGTCCACGTGGTCGCCCTCCAATAAGCGTAGTGATGTTCAATGATGTAGGTGCACGTGGTCAAGGCCACTGTCTCAGCATCACTGGACATGCCTGCATTGTGGAGTAGTAGGACATTCATCTACCCTATAAAGTGGACGGCCGCCACCGTAGCTCATGAGTAAAACGTTGGACACGTTATTTAAAGTTCGCAGATTTGGTCCCTGCCGGTGGGACGTTATCTTTTTGACCACTTTTCTGTTTTCACATAATTCTAATAGCATCTTCAATACTTTCCTTGGCATCATTGTTTGTTAGTTCTTATTAGTAAAGTGATATAAGGTAACTAAAATTCAGCAAATCACAAGTACTTTGAGAATCGATGTTATGCGAAGCATGCGCAAGCAAGCTGTGTTGAAATTTTTTTAATGAGCAATACTTTACAAAGTTGCGCTGAAGATACTTACAAATGCATGCACAGATATACGTTAAACAGCCGCATACTGTTTAACATCAACAGTTGTTTACGGTTGCGTAACGATGGCAACACGAACTGGATATTAGCAAGCCAGAAGCGGTAAGCTGATGAAAAGCGTTGCTGCTCGCCTAAGATCATAGCCATAGACACTGATACACAAAATATTTAAGTGGATTAGACTTGGCTACAATACATGTTAAGCCTACGTGACGGCTGTATCGTAAGAGTACATATGTAATGTTTATTAAATTGGAAAGACAGTATTGCAACCAGAATCGGCGTTTCACGAATATTACTGCCCATTTGAATGGCATAGCTCCGAGACCTCGCGTGGCTCTTTGGTAAAATACTTGATTGCCACGCAGAATTCTAGGGTTTGATTTCTGCTGGCACAATGACATTTATGCTTTGCATTCTTCCGGTCAAGGCTGCCGATGTCCGCTTTTTTTTAACGAACAGGCGTTACAATTAACCATTTCGGTTCTCCACGCGTTATAGATGTAAACTGCCAAGCACCTTTGGCACATACCCGCCCCCGGGTATGTGCCACTGTTTTTTTTTTGGAAAACGTTGACGACTTAGGTGACGGGATTTGGACATTATTCGTGTTATGACCAACGAGCGTATTTGTCAAACCATTTCACCCTCCATGCCATCTTTGGTTTACGCCAAGTTAAGGCGGTGATCACAGGTTACCAATGTATTCTCCATTAACTCCTTTCTTAACTATCCCCCCCTATAGGCCTCTAAAACTACTTTAGGCACGCGATAAATAAGATACAATCTCCCCAAAGCTATTTACCACGCGCCTACAAGAGGTTTTCGGCACGTTAGTCTTAGCACGTGCGGCTAAGCAAGCAGCACATCTCGCTAATAACGACACCACATACTTGATGTTTTAACCTCAGAGTAAGATGAAACAAATCGGCGGAGTACTTCACATTTCATTTGCTGCTGTCCGCGCAGTGGGCGTGTAGCATGAGCAGTTTGGATAAAAGTGGGCTGTCGCTCCTGCATGGATGCTGCAACGTTGATTTGCAAACGCAGTTACCGAGGGCAAGAGAAAAAATTATTACGTGCGTGCGAACTAAATGCGAACAATAAACGTATCACATAATGATGTGGCGTAACATATACACGCCAATATATATATATATCTATATAATCTATATATATATATATATATATATATATATATATATATATATATATAATATATAATATATATATATAGATATATATATATAATATATATATATATATATTATATATATATATATATACTAAAGGCAGTATATTATATTTAGTATAATATAGCCATGGCCAACCGACGTAAAAGTGCCCGTCTAAACTTTCTACACCAGCTATATTTTAATAAATTGGGAATCCAGTCACAAGATTACATAGCTAATAACCCTAGTCGAGCGTCTCGTCACAAACATAGCCGAAGTATTACACCGTTCTTTGCCCGTACAGACAATACAAATATTCATTTTTCCCAGAACTGTTTCCGATTGGAATGTTTTGCCAGAGTGTTCACCCTTGCTGTCATCCAATGTATAATGATTGTATAATTACCTGTTGATTATGTACCCTCACATTCATGTGTCGATCTTGCATCCATACGCATGTCTTCTGGATGTGTACATCCCTCTCCTGCTTGGACCTTTCAAGGTTCGCAGTATTGTCCAAATAAATAAATAAAATATTTGGGACAGCTATGGGACCATCGCTGTCGAAATTTTGGCGTGTTGGTGCATTGTGACGACTGAAAATAACGCTAAGAAACGGGGACACAAGAAGAGGACACACGGCACAGGCGCTAACTTCCAACATAATGTTTATTACCACCACACGCTTGCCTATATCACCAAAAAAATATCACATGACAAGAATGATGCGCACAAAAAATTAATTTCTTAGAAAATACAATTCTTTATCACTAAGCGTAAGAGAGGAGTGCTGACGCACTTAGACCCCAGTGAAGCGATAGCCTCAGCCTCAATAATCTCTCTAGTAAGCTTATCAAACATTCTCTTGATACTTATGTATTTTTTTAACT